TTGTTAATACAAATGATATTTGTAATTTTATAATTGATTCTCTTATAGAATTTTCATATACAGTTTAAAAAGAATGTCATTAAAATATAATTGTTCATTTTTAGAGTTTTCTCAATTTTGCTCCATTATTGACTTGAACCTGTAACATTATGATTTGAGGCGGAGAATATTTACCACTTAAACTCTCTCAGTTATTCAATTTAAATTTTGAATTTGATATGGTGTTAATATGAGAATTTGAACATAAATTTTTTAATGTTAATTAGTGCAACTTAAACAAGTTCTATGTTTTGGTTTAACATTATTAAAAAAAAAACGATAAATTCATATGAATTCCGTTGAAAAACAGATGATTTATTTATTTTTCAAAAAAAAAAGTTAAATATTGATAAATATAATTTAAAAGAAATAAGTGTCAAAAACACACCTAAAATATTCTCTTTTTTGAGTTTCATATCTAAACTTATTGAAATGTGAGTTTCATACATAAATTATTACTTATTAGTTTGAGAAACACACCTCAGTGATGTGTGTAATTAATAACTTTCTCTTTTATTTGCAAAAACCTTGCCACATGATTAAAATATTTCACTTTTGACAAAATTAAATAAAATATTAATATTAGTTAAAAACTAAAGACTAAAGTATTATTATCACAATTTTATTTTTTAAAAAAAAAATTAAAAATATTTTTCTCACTACACTCCTCCATCTCCTACCCTCCCCCTCCCCCCCCTCCCCCCGACAAAATCCCGGTCCTTTTATGTTTTAAAAATTCAGATCTCGTCCCTTATCCCACTACTTCCTTTAAAAAAATTTGATATTAGTTTTTCTGGAAAAAAAAGAAGTTCCTACCCCACCACATTTAACCCTCCGCTCCTAATTTATTTTTATTTTTTACATTTTTCTCATTTTGTATTAAATATGTGTATACATATATACATCTATTTTAGGAAAATACTTTTTCTACTGACGTACCGATAATATCAAAAATAAAAAAATTATTTTAAAAAAAACTTGCAGCAAGTAAAAGAATACTTTTCTACAAAAATATTTAATACAAAATGAGAGAAAAAAATTAGAAACAGATGGTTATGTGGAGTCGGAAAGATTTTATTTTTTTTAACAAAATTAAAATAATATCTAAATTATTATTTGAAGGAAGGGGGGGTTGAAATAAGATTTTTTTTTTCTTTTTTGTCTTTGTGGTGTGTGATATGATAATTTAGATACTAAACTTACAATTTCAAAAGTTGTATAGAATTCAAACAAAAAAGTTTATATATGTTTTTAATTCTTGTTTCAATTTAAAATTGTAATATTAGGTCCGTAATTACGGGCCTTAAATATCTAGTTACGTATAACCAAAAGGAGTAACAAAGGGCTGTTCGCCTATGCCGTCGCAGCCCCAAATCGAAAATCCCTAAAACCTAGAGTTCCACCGTCGTCAGTGTTTCTCTGTCTCAATTGCCGGCAACCGGCGCCTTCTTCTCCGTGAATTTCTCAGTCAGCATGACTCAAGGTATACGATTCTCTCTTTTCGTCTTCTTCTTTTTGGATTATAAATTTTATGCCTAAGATTATTGATCTTCTTTTAGGTAAAAGAGCTGCTGTTGAAGTTGAAAGAGAAGTAGAAGATATAATCACTGCTCTGCCAGTAAATGTTGTCGATCGTATTCTTAAGTTGTTGCCGGTTCACGACGCAGCAAAAACTAGTATTTTGTCTAGAAAATGGAGAGGTATATGGGCTTCACATCCATATCTGGTACTGAATAGCTTATTTTGCAAAAGGCTAATAACAAAATCTGAATCTTTTTTTAGAGAAACAGTAGATATGATTCTCTTACAACATATTGGCGACATTGTGGAGTTTGATCTCGATGTTTCAGGAGTACGATTGTCTTCATTTATAGATATTGATAGATGGATGCTTTTTGTAACTAGAAATGGTGTCAAGAAACTAACACTTAAGATGTCAAAGACTATAAATACTACTTATAAAGTGCCTTCTTATATATTCAATTGTCGAACATTGGAACATTTGACACTTTTCAACTGTATCTTCAAACCACCAAATCCCTTTCTTGGATTCAACAATCTTATAACCCTCTGTCTACGAAGAATAACGTTTGTACCAGCTACGGAGTTTTGTGTTATCAATGCACCCATTCTTATCAATTTGACCTTGATAAGGTGTAAGTGTACTCAATACTTCAACATTGTTGTCTCAAGTAGGTTGAAGTGCTTGTCTAATTGTGGGGGTCACGGCAATCTTGATCTTAATCGCTTTGCGAACTGCAAAGAATTGACAAATTTAGTGCTTTTGGATGATAGTCCAATACACAGTGATGAAATATCAACTTATGAAAAGCTTATCTTTAGCTTGTCTGCACTTGAGAAACTTACTTTAGGTCCAATTGCTCTTGAGGTAAGAATCTAACATGTTTTACCTGGTATGGGTTATGTTCCAAATTGTTCTTATTGTTTTTGCTCCAAAGCTTTTGAGTACAGGTGTAGTTACAAAGGGAATTCCTTTTACACTCAACTACTTGTGGCATCTACAGTTAATTGTAGACTTGAGCCAAATAGGCCAGACTTCTTACGCTCTGGAGTTAATTAAGAGTTTTCCCAACTTGAGCAAACTTCAGATTTGGGTAAGAATAACTGGTACTGCATATATGTCGCTCTATTTTTACTTCATATGTTATAAACATGAGAAACTAAAACATGTATTGCCTTGTATCATTAATTAGGTCTATGCTGCTTGTGACAAGGATGAAACGGTTATGAAATATCTGGACAAA